GTCCTATTACGATTATATATTCGGTACCTGCTATACCAGTTATAGTCTAATGTTCAGTCACACGTAATGGACGAAGACATACTAAAGTTTCCAACAATCTAATTTCAGAGGGAATTCGCTATAATATCATCTAGCGTATGTATAAATATGGTACATAATGAACTTACATTTATGATTTAATTTCAGAATTTTACCGTGATTATCAACATTATTTTAATCTTAGACTGAATCTTAACTGAAATCCATAGTGCTTATTATTATTGTCACAGCCAGTTTAACTGAATACAGCATCTGCGATTAAGCTAACTCTCATGATCAGTGGCTCTCATCAACTCTAATAGTTTCAAACAGTGTTCTTTTTTCGACCCTTCAAGGTAATGATGTGCTTACTTCACTTTTTCGTTGGTTGAAGTATATGCATTTTTTACCAGTCAGATGCAAAACCGGAACCGATAGCGACCTGTCTCATGTAAGCTTTCCCAAGCTTGTTGCTGATCGCATGCACTGGATTTAGTTAACTACCCTTTTCGATGGTAGCTGATGGTCGATCTATCGTTTATGTGATTAGTTTATTTTTTGAATGGTTTGCAACAGAAGAAAAGCAAACTTAATGCCATTGAGGACAAAAAAAAATTAACTAGATCAGATGTAATTAGTTTACAGCTCATTTGAGTCTTTTGGATAACCAACTTAACCTGGCAACCGAATAAACCGCTTTGTAGGCTATTCGTTTTTCGTTCTTTAAATTGTGTGGGTTAGTGCTTTGTGACCGCTACGAAATGGGGTAAAAATCTCGAAAAAGACACTTGAAAGATTGTGAAAACAACCGCCAAAAAGCTAGTCCTTCCCACTCCCCTACGTAAGGAGCCTGAAGGGGTGAAATGGAACTAACATTCGGGAAACACACCCCTAATGAGTATGAAAGGCTGTGTCTTTGGAAATTGTGGAAGAATTTGAGATTACCCTCCGCGTAATTTTAAACAGTAAGTTTCGCCTTTAACAATTTAATGTGAATATGATATTTTACCTTTTGCTGTGAACGTAAGGTTGTTAAATTGCTAGTTACTCGAGGCTGTACTGACAACAAGTAACTTCCATGTAGAGGCGTAAGATCGAGAGGTTCAGTAGTTCATCATCCTTTTCTTGTTAGACTTGTCAGTCAAATTGTGTTGTTCACACAAAACAAGGTTCTCAATCTGGTGAAGGAAATTCCAAGGAGAGTACAGAATAACGTCCTTAGGTTGCATTTGGCTATGATCGTACTCACGGATTTTCATCCGTAAAAATAAGCTATGTCATCAGGGGAGGCCCTTCGTATAGACTGACGAATATATCTCTCTAAACGTAATTTTACAGCAGTTTCAATCAGGTTTCGCCGATTCTTCCTGCTAATACCTGAGAGCATTGATTGCGGTTGTGAATAATTTGTTGTTTTTAATTTCAGCGAAACTGCTCGGCATAAAATCAAATTCTGCTTGGTAAGCAAATTTAAAATTTTTAAATCTTTAAAAAATTCTCCGAGCGCCGCAATACATGTTTTATAGGGTATTCTGCTTGAAATAAATGTCTACAATTCGTCTTTCAGCTTTGATTTAAGGTACGTTAGGTTTCGTTCCGAAGAAAGAACTAAACGCAATATATTTTGCGTGACACAAGGTTGAGATGTTGTCACACGACACACTTCTGTCTGCCGTATTATTAATTTTTGCTTAGGTTTTGAAATCAAAAACATCACAGACCTTTACAATATACAAACATAAATTCGTATTGTCGAGAGGAAGCTGACATTGGCGGTTTACCAGCAGTATAAACGACAACATCTCAGAAAAACAGAGAAGAAAACTCGGAAAGCCACATTTTTTTCAAAGAAAGGAAACAAAGCTGTAGCATGTCGTGGTATATCCAAGAGAAAATATTCATAATATACAATTTCAAAGTGCAAATGACGATGATACAACAGCTAGGTATATCTAATTTTGGATAACTATTCGAAGGATATACTGACTTGAAATCTTCTTGGGCTATCCTTAACTAATCCCACCGCGGCTAACTAAACGTTTTCCAAATTACACAGTTGTAGTCTTAAGTCTTCGACCACATCGCTGAGTGACAGTTTGGCTTTCAAGGTGGTTTTTAAAGATGTGGTGTCAAAAGTTTAAAATAAAATTTCTGTTTGCAAACCTTGCTTAGTCCACCTTCCTCTCCAAAGCCATAGATCCCACGACAAAGACACTACAATAAGTGACCCGATTTCTTCGCCACCGATTGTGGTCCGCTGTGAGTATCACTTTCCGGCATATTTTGTCGTCCGTTATTATTTTCGTCCATATTCACTCCGTATTCTGTCCTTGAGCAAGTAGATATTTGACCATAGATCCGGTGTAAGAACAAATTTGGACTGACAATTTGTGAGTTGGCAATCTTTCGGACCATACCTTTAACGAAACCTCATGGCATACCAATTAGCCCTAATTTATGCTGACCAATCACTCTTCACTTGGCGTTGAAAGATTGCCTCGTGCAAAGCGCGTGATCTGTAGTTTTAAAATAGCATTTTGCGAAATTTGCTTTTATCTGGGGACTCATCCGTTTTGAGCATAATTAATTTTTCTTCACTGTTTCTTTGACATTTATTTGTTTTACAACGATGACTCACCGATGTTTTCTTTTATATTGCAATTAAAAACGCACTATATATAAAATCGATCTTCCAGGGATGATGAACATTTTAAAAACATTTCTGTTTTTGCATAATTATTCCAACTGAAAGAAAAAACGCTTTTTCTTACCTACCCACGCCTGAATGAAATATTTTGTCTCGAAAGAAATGAAAAAGCGAAAACAGAAAGATGCTAACTGAACAGATTTTTAAATACAGTGTATTCGCATTTTATAGACTCAAGCTAACAGATGAAATATCGAGAAATAGAAAATATCGCATGTCAAATCGAGCGCTGTTTAGTATCACGATTGTAACAGGGTTGGGCTGTCGACTTATTTATGCAAATGTGCTCTATTTACTGGTGGCATCACCTATTGTTATTTTTGCCAAAAAGGAAGTTTGTAAACTAAGGCGATGCGTGAAACAAAAGGCAAAAAATGTAAAGGTCTAGAGCCAGCTGTTCGGCTTTGCCTTGTCAGCGATATATAAGATGTTCTCTTTTTTCTGTTATTGCATCAGAGTTGGTTTGTTTCAGTTGTCTCACAGATGTACAATCGTTGGGTCGTCCTGTTAAAATTATCAAGGTCTATCTTTCTGTGTGTAACAGTTTGGAATAATTATTGTCTTATACTAAACGTATGTTTTTTGTACAGTGCCAATGGAATAATTATGCGGCAGAGACCTCCGCTCAAGTTATC